CCCACCATCAATCAAATGCAGAATTGCTTCTGTTGCCGTTTTTTCTCGTCTTCTGTACATTACTGTATCACAACAAGCAGACACACCTCGCAAAAGTCGCACCGCGACCCGAGTCGCCCGCACAGCAAAGCGAACCAATGGCGAGGAAGAGAAGGTCGGGGGTCTACGCTCACTTTGTCCCGCTTCATGCCCGCAACGACTCCTTGGCCCACGTCACACAGGGGGGCTTCCTCGTTGCTCCATCCACCCCACCCCATCACACCGATTGTACTGTTCTTGATGAGAAAGCCATTGCCATCACCACGACCAAACCATCCCACTGTCTCGTGTCATGCCATTGACTAATTCGCCGCCGTCTAGATTCTCTAAGTGGAGATTCGAGCGACGTGCTTCTGTTCTGCATGACTATCGATCAGGTCGAACTAGTTTCAGTTACACGAGTATAGCAACTTTCCCAGAGTACATTTTTTCGATCTCAACCAACACCCTTAGTCTATCGACTTAGAATCCATGGCGGCGTTTAGCTGGGACTGGATAGAGTCGTTAAAGCACGCAGCCAGGGCCGAGCAGGTGCCGGCGGACTGGAATGCGCGGACGGCCCGCGCGCCCGACGCTGCATGGCTAGCGGACGATCAGCGACCACCCACTCGTCGCAAGACGTCGCATGCCGTCGCCCCCACATGCAGCCCCGCAGCAGCTTCCCAGGACTTGTGGCGCCCCGTCTCTTCCGCGCACGAGCCCTCCGCGCTTCCCATCCTCGAGCCCTCCTCCAGACTTCGCTCCCCCTCCCCCACCTCCATCCCCGCGTTCTTCTCCCCACAGTCCCCGCCCTCCGCACAACCATCCTTCCCCCAACCAACTACGCCGGTCCACGTCGCATCGCCAACGAGCGCTCATTTCCCCACGGAAGGTACTGCCCCCAGCCCCCCGGTGCGGAGACGCAGCGCATTAGCGCGCGGGGAGCGGGGCGACGCAGAGACGGAGGTGCTGCTGCAGGGCCTGCTGAGCTCCGCGCCTGTGAGCCGCCGGTTAGCAGCGCTGGGCCTCGTCCTTCTGCTCAACGGCGTGGGACATGGCGCGGCGGGCGCGTGGAAAGCAAGCGCAGCGGAGGAACCCGCGTCGGCGGAAGAGCCCTTGTCCCCCTGCAGCAGCGTCGGCAGCTGCGATTTGCTGGCCGATCACGAAGACGACACGGCCTGCACCTCCTCGCTCCGCGCCGCCGATCCATGGGCTGCGCCGCAAGTTTTCGCCAGCGGGCCGCTCGCCGCCTCCCATGCGGCCGATACTGCTAGTATCGGCTCGAAACGGCGCCGGGTGGACAGCTTCGCGTCGCTGGCGACAGCGCAGGACACGTGGCAGTCAGCGCAGGAGGCGGGGGAGGAGGAGCGGGGGCAGGATCAGGTGGTGGGGAGCGGGGCGGGGGAGGAGGCGCAGGGCGGGCAGACGGAGGAGTTTTGGCAGCAGCAGCGGCAGCAGCTGGTGGAGGCGATTCAGACGCTTCTGCAAGGATGCGCGCAGCTGCAGCGCTCTTAGTGCGGGGCGAGTTGTCTTGGTGTAACAAGGGTTGCACTAGAAGGAAACGACGCCGGGACGAGGCGCGATGCGCTCAGTTGTGAGCTCGCCGTTTCCCTTCCCTCGCCTCTCGGTAGAGGAACATGCAGCAGGCTGTTCATCCAAGCATCTCGCCATCCGCCCAAGCACCCGCAATCTAAACCTCCCCATCCCTCGCCACAAGCAAACATTGATTTAACCATCTCATGTGCTGAGGAGGTGGGAAGAGAGTAACGCAGAAGGTGCCCACGGTATTTCTTTGCCACAACAGATGACCCTCTTGACGGCTTAGGACGTCCAGCTGTAATATGGCCAAGTGATTTGTATGTAATTCATTTTTGTAATATTCAGAATCACCAAGTTCGTCAGCCCATTTATTTTGTGTGGAAAAGCACTGAAGTGGAATGGCCGAAATCCCCTAAACAATTTTCAGGAACAGGGTGCAATATCCAGGAAGCTAGATACCTCCAGTACACTAGACACCACCCTAACAAATGAAAGCTGTTTAAATAAGATACCCCTTTAACACTTACACTCTACAATAAGAGTGAAGGGTATTGAACGATACAAAGATTCCCTCTTAGTCATGCAGCACTGCTGCGTGATCATGACCAGCGGGCCTCCATCCACCAGCCTGATATCACAACACACCACACTGTCACCAACAGTGCTCCATCCCTAGTGTCTGTCCCTCCAGTGCACGGCCCATTGCCACATCACCACCAGACATGAGGCCCTCCTGCATCACGCCACGTCACGTTGGTCCGAGATAACGAGTCCCGAGGCCCAGGTGGGGAAGAAGAAGGGGATGAAGCCGCGGAAGAGCAGCAGCTTGGCGATATTGCGGGGCTGCGGCATGGGCTGGATGAGCAGCTCGTGCGTGCCGGGCTCCTCTGTCAGCACGCCCATCACCGTGATCGTCTGCCCTGCACGGATGTACCCCTTGCACACCATCAGCTGCGGAGACAGCGCCTTGCGCCGCTTCTTCCTCTCCTCCTCCGCGCTCGCGCCCCCCTCCCCGCCCGCCGCACCCCCTGCAGAAGGGGGAGAGTCCTCGGTGGAGAGTGGTACCTCGGTGGAGATGTGCACAAGGGGGGTGGCCACGCCGGTCTCAGCGGCGTGGAAGGCCTTGACGATGGCGCTCATGCCCGTCTGCCCGTCCGTGATCCGGAAGTCCACGGCGCGCGTCTGCCGCACGTGCTCCGTCCACGCGTCCGCCTTGCGCAGCCCCGGGTAGTACGACCGCAGGCTGCTCTCCACCAGCACCAGCCCCTGCGGTCAAAGTGCGCGCGCGGGTTGGAGACGAGTGTGGGCGTGCGTCGGTTAGAATATCGAGCGGAATATAGAGGGGTAGGGGAGGGGAACGGGCGAGGGGGAAGCCGGCTGAAAAGGCGAGAGTAAGGCAGGACTGGCTAGACGATCTTATGAACACCCCGGAGTTGAATTCTGGATGCGTCTGCCTTGCACAGCCTCGGGTAGAACGACCGCAGACTGCTCTCCACCAGCAACAGCCCCTACAGCCGCAAGTGCGCGCGTGGGTGGGGGTAAGTGTGCGCGTGTGCCGGTTGAATGGCGAGCGCGAAATAGAGACGGAGGAGGGGAGGAGGAGGGGCGGGTGGAAGCAGGGCGACGAAGCAAGGACAAGGATTGACCGGCTAGACGGTCTGAAGCTAAGGGCACGCAGGAATTGGATTCCCGCCGCCTTATATCGCGTACAGAACGGTACTCACGGGGACGTTGTGGAACTCGGTGGAGAGCAGCTCCTCATGCAGCAGCGACACGGCGCCGCGCACCACCACCGTCTGCCCGCGCCCCAGCCGCCGCCCCAGCCGCGTCTTGCTCTTCGCGTGCAGGAACCGTTGGATCACGCGCCGCGGCCGCCCCGCCATGCGCACGTTGAAGAGCAGCAGCGCCAGCCATCCGCCGCCAAGAAGCGCTATAACGAGGATGCGCTCCGTGCCCTCGAGCGAGAGCGCGAGCCAGAAGATGGCGACGAGCGCGGCGACATTGACGGCCGTGAACGCGAGCAGCGCGAGCGCCTGCGCGACGGGCATCTTATGCGATTCAGACACCGTGCCGATGGGTACCTGCCGATGAGAACGGGCGGGGGACGCGGAGCCATGTGGACCGACGGGGGAAGATTAGATCTTCTTAGGCAACGGGAGAATCACAGGATTTGACCGCATTTCAATAAACGAGTAGCAAAGGCGAACGGGTAAGCGCACCTGAACGCGGCCGCTCTCAGCGCTCATGTTGGAGCTCGTCCCCGCGAACGACTCCGGCGCCTTGCCCTGGCTCGCGCCGCCATTGCTGTCCACATCGCCCTCCGCGCGCGCCCATGAATCCCCTTGCGGCTTGCGCGCCGCCTCCACGCCTAGTTGCGCATACGAGGGCTTTCCGAAATTAAACATGTCGGTTGCTGTAAACGAGCGAAGTTGGCGGAATAACGACGGCCTATGGGTAATTGTCCGAACCTCCTAGTCTAAACTTTCAGAGGTGCGCCTGGAAAAAAATGTGGTGGTTGTGGTTGAGCGGAGAGAAGTGGAGGTTTGTTCGAGGAGGTATGCAGATTGACACCCTTGCGAGGCTATATGGTAACATTTGAGCCTACTAGTTTTCGCATATTCCGGATGCGAAGTCAAATTTCTTCGGTTACGCGAAGTCGCGAGTTTGCGAATGGAGATGAGATGGGGCAGAATCAGCACCAATTTCCCTCGAGATTTGCGGAAGACCAAGAGAGTGCGCAGGTGAGGTGATGCTGGCGCGGGCAGGTCCTCCCGCCATGCGCGCAGGTGGGAACGAGGGACAGAGTACTTGTGGTGGATTGAATCTGAATAATGTACACTTCTGATGTAAAAATGGTAAAACGCTATGATGTGGAATGCCCGTGTGCCTGTACGGACGGTTTGTCACGTTTTTCGTTTGAAGACATGCAATCACTTTTATGTTGAATGCTCCCTGCAGTCTCGTTTCTGCTGCCCCACGCTGGGCCTGGTAGGCTGGGGGTCTGCCACGCACTGTGGTGGACAATTCGTGTGCTGCCCGTTACTGCAGAGTGCCACCGTCAACTGTCGGGTGGCGGGTCTGTTCCGTTTTCCCGCCAGTCACGTCCCGTGCAACCTCTCCTGCACACCACTCCCGCATTCCCCCATCCATTTCGTCATGGAGTAAATTAGGGTTTCTGCGCGGCCACCGTCAACAACTTAGGTATTCTGGCCGAGGACCTACTAGCCATTGGCCCTCAGGGATCTCTTCACTAACTAATAAGTTATGTACTACATATTCACGAAAATAAGCGAGCTTTGCTTCTTCGATCTGAAGCAATGCGTGAATGATTTGAAAGACTGGGTGGCTGACCCGTCACCAGCCAACCGTAAGCACATATTCTGACGGAACGTACGGACAGAATGGAGAGGGACGCGCAGCCTCGTTTCCGGTCCCGTCAGTTCATGCCGGTGCCTATCGGCAATCCCGGGGACCTGCTGTACACATGCATTCTCAAGAACGCGTGGGGTGCGGAGGTGTCTCCGCTGCACGACGTGCCCCTATTCTCCTCTTCCGCCAGTTTCCACTTCGTCTGCCTCTGTCCACGTGGCTCAACCTACGACATGGCCATTTCGTTAACCGAGCGTCTCAGCCCGTTAAAGTCCCGCCTCGTTAACAGAAACCTATCGCGCCTGTCAGAGCCATCTCCATGGCACTTCGGCTTGCTGCCGCAGACGTTAGCGAACGAGGAATTTCCATCGGAAGTTGCCGGCTTGTCGAACGACAACCAGCCGCTCGATGCGATCGAATTAGGGTTCGGCGTGCGACAGGTGGGCGACGTGTACGAGGTGCGGCCCATCGGCGCGTTTGGGCTCGTCGACCCGCTCACCAGGGCGCTTTCGTGGAAGGTTCTGGTGGTGGCGTGGGACGACCCGCTGTTCGGGCGCGCGACGGGCCTGGACGACGTCGAGTCGCTGTTCCCGGGGGTCACGGATCGCCTGCGCGCATGGCTCGCGCGCTACCGCTCGAGGCCGGGACGAGGTACCCACTCGCGAGCGGTGATGTCTCCACGTGTCGTGCGATAGTTGGTCTGTCGTTCGTGCCCTGTGCTCCGTGCTCCGTGGTCCGTGTGTCATGTGTGCAGTGCAGTAGCCGTGTCATGCGCGTGCCAGATCCAGCGCCTCTGCATGCTCCATGTGTGTCAGCCAGGTTCGGGATAATCGCGGTTGCGATTGGTGCTGTCGCCGTGCGCGTAGTGCCATCGTGTCAGCTCATGCACTAACATGGCATGATCGATCCACACGCCCATTACCCTCCTATCCTCATGCTCTTTCCACCCCACCCTCCCCCTCCATCTTCAACCGTTTCCCCGTCTCCATCCCGCGCAGCCCCCAAGGCGCAGGCGGTGTTTGCGCAGGGCGGGCGGCCGGCGTCCCCCGACACGGTGATGCGCGTGGTGGCGGAGGCGAACGCGTGCTGGCAGCTCTTCAAGGCCACGCGCTGGCCCGACGCGCCCTCCCCCCCCGCTGCTGCCGCTGCGCCCACCTACGACCACCAGCAGCCGCAGCAGCAGCAGTGGGAAGGGGAAGTGCGGGTGGGCGCAGGCGGAGTGGCGTCGAGTCGCAGGCGGCGCAGCAGCCGCGGTAGCAGCGTGAGCAGTGGCGCTGGGAGCGGGGGTGGGGACAGCGGAAGCGTGGTGGAGTGGGGCGGGGGAGCGCAGGTGCTGCGGATAGAGGGGGCGGCGGAGGCCGAAAGAGAGGCGTACGCGGGAGCGGAGAGACGCGGGATGGAGAGGGGCGCAGGACTGGACGGGTGGAGGGGCAGGGGGAGTGGCACGGCGCAAGCAGGGCCAGCTGCTGATGCTGATGCTTGTGCGCCTCACGGCGTTGACTCGCGCGACTTGCTTGACCGTCAGTTTGAACGGCTGATGCAAGCTGATTTGTCGGACGCTGCACGCGCTGACAGCTTCGCCTTCCATGACGTCAGCTGTAGCTCCCCCCCTGAGTGTTCTTATAGCGAAAGCCCGCCTCGGTTACTGCAATCCAGGAGCGAACCGGGGCCTGCTTATACCGGGGACGAGCATGAGCATGAGCATGAGGATGAGGATGACGATGAGCATGAGCATAGGCACCGCCCGTTTGAACAACGCCACCATCCCTATGAGGAATACTCGTTTCACGAGCACTCGTTAGTGGATCACTCGATAGACAGCTCGCTGGAAGGAGGAGCCGTGCAGCGGCGGGCACTGGGAGGCGAAGTGGGTTGGGACAGCCCCGACAGAACCGCCGCCTGGGGCACGCAGGACGCCCGCGCGCACGCCGCGGAAGGGAGGGGGGTCTGGGATGGGGTGAGCGGGGGGGAGGATGTGCGGGGCGGAGTGGAGGGGGGAGGGGCGCGGGATTGGCGGGGGGCGCACGGGGAGGAGCGGCTGGAGGATGGGTTGGTGGGCGGCGCGAGAGAGCTTAGCTTCGCACGGGGCTTGGCGCGTGGCGACGGGGGCTGCGACGACGGGCGACGCGGGAGTGAGTGGCGCGGGGCGGAGCGATTTCTGGGTGGCCAGGCGGAAGCGGAGCTGGATGGGGGGACGTTTGAGAGTGGTTCAGGTGGGTTCGGGGTGCAGATGGCGTGGGACGAGAGGGGCGCGGGGGAGGGGGGCGCGGGGAGTGTGTACCATTCTGATGGGTACGCGCGCGGTTATACCACCTCCGACGCTGATACTAGCGCGTGGGAGGGGCGCGAGGGGGACGACGGGGACGAGGAGGAGGAGGAAGAAGAGGAGGAGGAAGGTGAGGAGGGAGAGGAGGAAGAGGGGGAGGATGGGATGTCGGTGATGGAGAGGAGTGTGGATGGGGAGGAGGATAGGGGAGAGAGTGGCGCGGAGGAGAGTGCGGAGGGAAGTGAGGGGAGGGAGGAGGAGAGTGAGGAGGAGAGTGAGGAGGGGAGGGAGGAGGGGAGGGAGGAAGGGAGGGAGGAGAGCAATGGGGATGAGGGGTACAGGGAGGAGCATGGGCAGGAGAGCGTATGGATGGGCCGCGCGCGAGACGGGATCGTGGATGAGGCTGGCATGGGTGGCAGCATGGGTGGCAGGATGAGTGGCAGCATGGGTGGCAGCATGAGTGGCAGCATGGGTGGCAGCATGGGTGGCAGCATGGGTGGCAGCATGAGTGACAGCATGGGTGGCAGCATGAGTGGCAGCATGACTGGTGAGGTGGGCAGGGATTTTGGTGGTTTGGGGCAGCAACAGTACTGGCAACAGAGACAGCAACAACAACAACAACAGCAACAGGAGCAGCAGCAGCAGCAACAGGAGCAGCAGCAGCAGCAACAGCAACTGCAGCAGCAGCAACAACAGCAGCAGCAGCAGTATCAGCAACAGCAACAGCAACAGCAGCAGCAACAGCTGCAGCAACTGCAGCAGCAGCAACAACAGCAGCAGCAGCAGTATCAGCAACAGCAACAGCAACAGCAGCAGCAACAGCTGCAGCAACTGCAGCGGCAGCTGCACCAGCAGCTACAGCAGCAGCAGCAGCAGCAGCAGCAGCAGCAGCAGCAGCAGCAGCAGCAGCAGCTACAGCAGCAGCAGCAGCAGCAGCAGCAGCAGCTGCCTGCGTCCCTGTCTTTGCTCCGCTCTCTCTCCCTCACCAACAGCCGCCCCCCCCTCAACCACCCCACGCACGCCCCCTGCTCCTCCGTCTCCTCCAGCCCCGCGCACACCCCCCGCGCCCACCACCCCCTCGCCGCCAGCGCCGCCAGCAGCCCCACTGCCGCACACCCTCCGCTCCCCTCCGCGCTGCACCCGCCCTTCAGCCACGCGCCCGCCCACGCGTCTGACCGCCGCCGCTCCTTCCCCTTCCACGCGCACCGCCACTCGCTCTCCCACATGCACCACATGCGCCTGCCGCCACACCAGCGCCAGCAGGCGCAGCAGAGGGCGCAGGCGGGGGTGGGCGCGGAGCGGCAGATGCACAGGCAGGGCGCATTAGATGATGGCGCCATGGCTGGCGGGGATGGGCGCATGGAGCAGAACGGCCAAGCAGGGGCGGAGGGCGGTGTGGCGGTCGCAGGGGGCGCAGGGGGGGCTGGGGGCGAAAGGTTGTTCCGCAAGGCCAACTCCAGCTCCCCCCGCACGCTCAACCGCCCCTCCTCCGCCTCCAGCAGCCCGGGTAACGCGCCTGCGCGCCCCTCGGGGCAGGGGGGCGCGGCGCTGGAGCGCCCACTGGCGCCGCTGAGAAGAGACGCGGCGGCGCTCATCCCAGGGCTGCTGAGGGCGCGCGGGGGGAACGCGCAGGGGCGCATCATGCGCTCCCAGTCGCTCTGCCAGGGCGCGTTTGGGGACGTGCTGGGCGGCCAGAGCAGCGGATCGCCAGGGGACCCCTCTCAGTCTGCTGCGCCTGGTGGCGGTGGGGCGTTGGGTGGTGTGGCGGATGGTGGCGCGATGGTGCTTGAGCGGTCCATGTCCTTCACATCCGCGGATGGGGCAGGGGGGGTGCCGCAGTGGGTGCAGCAGCGCCTGCAGCAGAACATGTGGCAGGAGCAGGCGGGGCTGCGGCAGCAGCAGTCGCAGCATCACCACCAGCAGCAGGAGCTGCAGCTGCAGCAGCGGCAGGAGCAGGAAGAGCAGGAGGAGGAGCAGGAGGAGCAGGAGGGGGGCAGAGGGCGAATGGCAGCACACAGTGCAAGGATGCACGCGGAGCAGCAGGCGTCAGTTCCGCCACTCCCCCCTGCACCCGTCGCTACAAGCGCAGGCCCCATACCTCCCCGCTGGCCCCCCAACGCCCACTCCCCCTCGCCCCCCTCCGCAGTGGCACGCTCCTCCTCATCCCCCGCGCACGTGCCTGTTCCACCCGCTGCCACGGCTGCCATCCCCCCCCAGCACCCCCCCCCTGCCCCCCCACAGCAGCACATGCGGCGGTCTCGCTCCATGTCCCAGTCCGCGTTCGGCCCGTCCCTGCCCTTCCTCTCCCTCGCCCAACCCCCCCATGCCCTCTCTCTTGCGTCCGCGCCACCGCCGCTGCCCCCGCCATCACAGCAGCAGCAGCAGCAGCTGGTTTCCCCGTCCCGTTTGAAGCTCTCGCAGAGCTACAATGCTGGGGAGGGCACCGTCCCTTGTTCCTCCCCTGCCCACACACACAGCCTCACCCAGCGACCCCTCTCACAGTCACGCTCGCACACCTCTATCCCGGTACAGGCACAATCCCAGGTCTCAATCTCGATACTATCACAATCCCTAGCCTCCATCCCGCTACAGTCACAGCGCCTCCCTCCTGCACGTTCGTCCCTCTCTCCGTCCCGTGACCTCTCCTCCCCTCGCGAGCCCTCTCTTGTCCCCCGCTCCTCCTCCTCCTCCTCCTCCGCCTCCTCTCGCCCTCTCAGGCCGCCTGTCCCCCCGCCAGCTCCCGCCCTCCCCCCTGCCTGCGCCTCCTCCCCGCCCCTGCGCCCCTCGCGCAGAATGCAGCGCCGCCACACCCTCCCCCCGCGCGTGCTCGATGCTACCCCTGGGGGAGGGGTGGCAGGGGGAGGAAAAGGGGGCGGGGCGGAGGGTGAGCAGCAGGGGGAGTCTGAGCGTGGGGGCGGCAGTTGGGGGGATCGGACAGGGGGAGGAGAGGGCGAGGAGGAGGACGAGTTTGTGAGGGCGGCAGCAGCAGTGTCAGGGGTGGAGGTGCTGGTGCTGGGGAGGGCAGCGCGGGGCACAGGCGTGAGCGGTCCAGATGCAGTGAATGTGGACCGCCTGAGACCCGTGCAGCAGCAGCAGCAACAGCAGCCGCCGCCGCCACCACCACCACCACCACCACTGCCGCCACAGCAGCAGCAGCAGGCACCGGCACAACGACAGCCACAGGCACCGGCACAGCAAGCGCAGCAGCAGCAGGGGGCACGAAGGCAGGTCGCGCGGAGGCAGCAGGGCATGGCGGGCGGGAGGGAGGCAGGAGCTAGGCCCCCGCGCATGGTGCGGCATGGCAGGAGCGGCAGCCTGGCAGACGTGAGCAGCATGGCGCTGGGCGGCATGGGCGGCATGGGCATGGGCATGGGGGTGGGCATGGGGGTGGGGGTGGGGATGGGGATGGGGATGGGGACGGGGGTGGGGATGGGGATGGGGATGGGGGTGGGGATGGGGGGAGCAGCAGAGATCAGCAGCTGGGGGATGGGTATGATGGGGACAGGAGGTAGAGGCGGAATCGGGGTAATTGGGGGAGGAATGGGCAACAGCAGCGCAGCAGCAGGCGGTATGAGGCAGAGCGTTGTGTTGAATCCACAGGCGCAGCCACAACCATCCTCCTCCCTGGCTCCTCGCAGCCTGGACCCCTTTCCTTCCGCGGTCGCAAGCAATGCGGTGCAGATGGGTGCCAGGGGTGGCGGCGTGGGTGCAGCAGGAGCAGGGGCAGCAGGGCGGGGAGTGGGCAGGGGAGGGAGGGGAATGAGGGCGCGGAGCATGTCAGGTGACTTCTCACACTTGTCCATGCTCGCACTCCTGGGCACGCAGACACAGACACAGACACAGACACAGGCACAGGCACAGGCACAGGCACAGACACAGGCACAGGCACAGGCACAGGCACAGGCACAGACACAGGCACAGACACAGGCACAGGCACAGGCACAGGCACAGGCACAGACACAGGCACAGACACAGGCACAGGCACAGACACAGACACAGGCACAGGCACAGGCACAGGCACAGGCACAGGCACAGGCACAGGCACAGGCACAGGCGCCACCTGTGCCCCTAGTCGCACCAGCACAGCCCGCTGACATGCCCTCTTTCCAGCGCGCTCAGAGCCCAGTGCTCTCAGCAGCAGCAGCAGTAGGAGGCAGTGAGGCCAGCGCAGGTGCCCCGGTGGCGCTGGGAGGGGGGCGAGGCCGAGGGCGAGGGGCCATGGGAGTTGGGAGAGGTGGCAGCGGTGGGGGGAGGGTGGGAGCAGGAGGGAGAGGGAGGGGGAGGGGACCTGGGTCAGTGTCAGATGTGCTGTCTGTGCCTGCAGCAGCAGCTGCTGCGCCCCGCCTGCCCTCCCCCACTTCTGCCGCTGCTGCTGCACCTCCTGCTGCGCCCGTCGCCCCTGCCTCTGCCGCCACGGCACCCCCCACAGGCGCCCCTCGCATGCTGCAGCAGCGGTTGCTGCCACAGGGGCAGGGGCGGGGGCAAGAAGGGGGAGGTGGGCGGGGACGGGGGCGGGGCCGGGGGCAGGGGCCGGATGGGGGAAGGGGGCGGGGGCGGGGGGGTGACCGACAGACAGGTGATGGTAGGTGCGGGCAAGCAGCAGGTGTGGAAGGAGGAGGGGGAGGGGAAGGAAGAGGTGGAGGAGGGGGAGGAGCATCAGGGGCAGCAGTAGCGGCGGCAGCAGCGGAAGGCGAGGAGGCGGGCATGGTGTTTCAGCGCTCCATCAGTCTGTCGGCGCGCCTCTTTGCCGACAAGGATGCCATGGCTGCCTCCCTCGGAGGCCCCGTGGGAACTGGCACGGGAGCAGGTGTGGGAGGGGCGGAGGGGCGGGGAGGCGCCGGGCGGGAGGGTGAGGCTGGGGGGGCGCCCAGAGCGCTGGCAGAGGGTGTGCGATCAGAAGGAAGAGGGCCAGGGCGGTTGGGTGCGGTGCCAGGCGGTGGTGGCAGGGGGCGGGGCCGCGCGGGTGGGAGGCGGCACATGCGGTTTGCGAGTGTGGACCTGAGCCGTGCTGCTGACGGCCTGGCCTTTCAGGTGGCCAGCCTCCTGGGGGATGATTCAACGGTCCACTCGCCTCAGCTGCCATTCCTGCAGCCACAGCCGCCGCCACAGCAGGCACAGCTGCAGCAGCAGGCGCAGCGCCGGCAGTCCCCTCTCCATCGCGAGAGGACCCCCTCCCCCTCACCCCCCTCATCATCCTCAGCATCGCCATCTGCACCAGCGGCATCGGCACCAGCATCAGCAGCAGCATCGGCGTCCACAACAGCTTCGGCAGCAGCACTGGCGGCAAGGCAGAAACAGCGCATGGTGTGCACGGTGGCAGGCATTCCCGCCTCTGACTCCCTCCCCTCGCCCACCTCCCACCCGCCCTCCGCCGCTCCCCGCCCTGCCCCTGCCTCCGCATCCCACCGCCCCCTCCCTGCCACGCCCCACCCGTCTCAAGCCGCCGCCTCTCCCATGCGCCCTCGGCCCCCCTCGGGCTCACCCCCCTCTGCGCGCCCTGCGCTCTCTCATGTGCGCCATCCCTCCTACATCTGGCCCCACGTGCACTCCGCGCCTCCCGCTCCCGCAGGGAGCACGGCAGATGCTGCTGCTGCTGCTGGCCGCCGTGCTGCTGCTGCTGCTGCTGCTGCTGCTTCAGCTGCAGCTTCCGATGTATCGGCCGCTGCCGCTCATGCTCCGTCTGCTGCACCAGCTGCCACTGGTGCTCGCCCTGGTGGCGGTGCTGCCGGTGCTGCCCGTGCGGATGGTGCTGGCAGTACTGGTGGTGCAGGCAATGCTGGCAGGGGTTCCGGTGTGGGTGACACAGCTGAGGCAGAGGGGGGAGTGTCGTCCCCACCCAGCAGCAGCGGGGGCGAGTGGGAGCAGTCCCCCGACCACCTGTTCATGCGCCACCAGACCACCCCCTGCCGCCTGCAGGGCGCTCACGAGCACGCCCACGCCCATGCGCACGGCCTGGCACTGTCCCCCGCGGCTGCCCCTGGCAGCGCGGCATCGCTGGTGTCAGATGGGCCGGGGTCAGAGGCGGGCAGCTCGTGGGGTGATGGCGAGCAGTGGGAGGCGCACCTGGCACTGCATGGTGGTGCGGGGCAGGGTGGCGGGGCGGACGGGGATGCGGACGGGCAGTGGCATGGCGGGCAGCAGCAGTATGAGAGGCAGCTGTCCCCGCTGAAGCCGCGAGACGCATCTCCACAGGCGAGCCTGCACCAGGCCCTGCCTCCCCACCAGCAGGCCCTGCCTCCCCACCAGCAGGCAGCGTCGGCTCTGCACACACCTCCCCGCCGCCCCCCCCTGCAGCAGCAGCAGCAGCAGGGACAGCAGGGGCAGGCGCAGGGTCGCACTGCCGCTCCATCGCTCACCGCACCCTCTGCCATCCCGCACACTCTCTCACCTGCCCGCTCGCCTGCTCATGCCACCTCCCATGCTCCTCGCCTCACTCCCCTGCAGCGACAGCAGCAGCAGCAGCTGCAGAAACTGCACCAGGCACAGACCGCCCCGGCAGCACAGGGGGGGTTCCGTAGCATGAGTGTGGGCGCCGCACACCACACCTCACAATATGCCTCCAAACCCTCTCAACCCGCCCTCCCCCCAGCCTCCCCCCAGCGCCCTATTCCTGGCTTCTCCCCTCTGATTGCCGCCCGCAATTCCATGTCTGCGCCAGCCGGGCAGATGAAACACCGCAAGTCGGGCAGCTTCGACAAAGGTTCAGGGAAGCGGCGGGTTCCGGGCAGCCTGGGGAGGCTGAGGATGAACAAGGAGAGGGGGTGGTGGGGTGGCGGCCCAGGGGTGGGGAGCGGTGCTGCGGCTCATGGCAGTGGTGCTGCAGGTGGTACTGGTTCAGCTGCTGTTCCTGCTGCTGCTGCTGCTGTTGCTGGTGCCGGTGGTTCCAGTGGTGCCGGGGGTGGGAGGAGGCACGGGGGAGCAGCAGGGAGTGGGGGCAAGGCGTCGGTGGCATCAGCGCTGATCAGCCCCCGCATCGTTGGAAAGTCCATCTTCTCGCGCTCCGCCACCACTGCTGCCCCCTCCTCCTCCTCTTCTGCCCACTCCACCGACCCTGATGCTGACTCCCACGGGCCCTCCAAAGGCAACTGGCGCCGCCTCGTGGGCAAGAGGGCAGGCAGCCCGCAGCACGGCAGGCGTGGCCACGGGGGCAGCAGCAGCAGCGGCAGCGGGCATGGAGGGGTGGTCTCACGCGCCGCGCGCGCAGTGACGGTGTTCAAAGCCGGGCACAAGGGGGGCGTGGGGCACAAGTTGGGGTTCAAGGGGATGGGGGCGGTGAGCCTGCCACTCATGGGGGGAGGCGGGGGAAGCCATGGGGTGATGCATGACGGCATGAGTCTGTTGACTGCAGGCGAAGAGGCTGTAGCCCTGGCGTTAGCAGCGGCGGCGGCAGCGGCAGCGGCGGCAGCAGCGGCGGAAGTGCCGTGGGTGGCGATGGTGGTGCCGGGGGAAGAGAGCGAGGGTATGCTGCCGTCATCCCTGCATGGGGGGCTGTCGTCCCCACTGCCGTTCAAGGCGGGGAATGAGTGGGCGATGGAGGTGCGTGCACGCATGCAGTGCGACGAGACCGCCAGTGGCAACTACGAGCTTTGGGACGAAGAGCTTTCTGCTCCTGCTGCTGCTGGTGCAGGAGGTGGGGAGGAAGGCGCACCAGCAGCAGGAGATGCGACAGGGGCAGGTGCAGGAGCAGCGGCAGGAGCAGCAGCGGCAGCAGGAGCAGGGAAGGAAGGGGCAGCGGGAGCGGCGGAGGGGGGAAGGGGGGAGGAGCGGGTGGGGCTGCAGAACATGCTGGTGCTGGACCTCTACCCCGACCTCTCCCCCCTCGTGCTCGGCGCCCGCAAGGCACCACCACGCCTACCTGCTGCTGCTACTAATGCTGGTGGTGATCCTGAGAACGATGGTGGCGGTGGTGACATTGAAGCGAAATTTATGGGGGATGGGAGTGGCGGGGCGGTGCAGAATGAAGGTGAGGGGAGCAGCATGCATGTGCAAGGTGGCGAGCAGGTGGAGGCAGGGGGGGGTGATGGAGGGGCAGGTGCAAGTGGGATCCATGAGGAGGTTAGCATCACTTTGCTGGGAAGCAGTCCTGCACAGGAGAGTCAAGGCTGCGGGCAGGTGATATCTGGGGAGGCAACACCTGTGCTAGCTGGTGCAGGGATGGAGCAGGAAGCTAGGTCTAGTTTGAAAGAGGTGGCTATTTATCAGCCCGTGCTTGTATAGAGTTGAATGCATCCATGTATGTGCATGTTGCAATGTATTGCTTGCAGCAGTCAGGATTAACAAGATGCACCTGGCGATGGCAGGTTGCCAAATTTTTTTTTGTAAGAGATCCATATGATAAAACAGAGATACTAGTGACCAAGGGCAAATCTGCTCTATACACTCAAAGCAGCCATCATAAATACAGCAACTGTGATTTTCCTGTGAGTATCTCTGAAGAGTATAATGAGGTGTTTCTTCCTCGTGTCTATCGGAGAAGCCACTGGAGTTCCACTTTCCTCTCTGCCACACTTCCCCTATCGCATTCCACAGCACCAAGCCCCTCCGCGGCAACATGCAAGTCACCCAAGCCCCCAGCGCTCCCGCTGTCCCCAACCACGCTCTGGTTACCACCTTCCGCTCGCTGCTGCTTCTGCTGGCACCTGGCGCGCATGAGCGCGGCGAACTGGTGCAGAGCGGCGCGCGCGGAGGGCTGTTGCGATCCGCGCAGCTGGCTGTGCAGGAACACGAGGAACTGGTTCACGTTGCTTCCAAACTCCGGCTTTTGCGCCACGCGCTCCCGCAGCCGCCCCACCGCCACGTCCCACTTGCTCAGGTTGCCATGCGGAAGGGAGGAACGGAGGGACGCCGTTAGCTGGTCGTAGCGGGAGAGACGCTCCGCCAGGCTGAGTGTAGCGTCAGGCTGTAGCGCGCTCGGTGAAACTCCTTGAGCCCTCGAGGATTCCTCGTTTGGCGGAATTCTTGACGCTACGGGAGCTGCGGCTTCGGCGAGCGCAGGTCGTTTCGAGGGTGGCCGAGGAGGTGAGCAAAGCGGCGACTTGCGGTGGCTGCTGTTCACCTCCTCGTCCTCCGCCGCCACTTGCGCAAACCTCCTCTTCTTCGCGAGCGCGGGAACATCCCCTCGAAGCGCAGGCTCATCCGACCGAGCCTCGTCCGCGCCGCTGTTGGGAGGAGCGCGGATGGCGGTCGGTCGGAACAGCACCTGGGCGTCGTGATTGTCATTTGAGTGTGGCGCATGCGGGTATGCGCAGTCGGCAGCTGGTCTAGCGCGTAACGCGCCAGCGGCGACCGCGGCGGCGGGGTTGGTGTGTGCGAGGAGCCAGGCGGGTAGGGTGGAGCCCGCTGGGCTGTCTTGGAGCAAAACGCCGAGCTGCTCCTCCCGCTGCGCGGGGTCGCGCGATAGCTGTTGAAGGAGCATGGCGGGCTGCGGGCGGGAAAAGGTCGAACCGGGAACTGGCTTTTGAGAGGCACTGGCGAACGATCGATCTAGCGGCATTGCAAGGAACTGAAGCGATGACATGAAGCGATCGAAAAAAATGAGATAGGTTTCAACGTTTTGCTAGCGATACGAAATACTGAACTAGTTTGCTTGGATGCGAATGAAATTGGCTTCGAAACTTCTATCTCTCGTCTGCCCCTGCGGTGCTGGTCTCTGAGCTGAGGTCTATTAATCCAAGTTGTGTTGGTACTCCAGTCGCACAAAGTTTTGAGTGTGCTGGAGAAGGACCGTCCTCCATGGATCCGCTTCACCTTGTTGTCGTGCGGTCACAGCCTACCACAACTCGACTCGCCATGACAGCGCAGCACAGCGCAGAATCAGCAGGGCCAAGCAGAGGCGAGCGAGCGAGGGAGGCAAGAAGCGGAGAGGACAATGCAAAAAAGCGCACTGCATCCGTTCGACGCCCCCTTGGGCTTGCCTCCCGAGCTTACTCAGCAGAATGTCGCACTTCCCATTCGCCAATGCTGCAAGGTATGCCACCCGGGCCGCGCTCAAATCTCCACCGCGACTTGGCCGTGTCGCCATGCTCGCTACTGTGGCTGAGAACCCACGGGAAGTTTGTCACGGGCTAGCTGTGCAGCCACCTCAACCACGTCAGCAGCGAAGGCTTTTAGGCCCTGCTCCGCACACCTGGAGAGGGAAGAGATAGGCAGTGGCTGGGTACTGGCTGGATGGCGACTTGCGCTTGTACGCTGGCACCACGTCACTGAGTCAACCGCGTAAACATAACGCGAAGGTGCTTCATGATTGGTTATTCTTTGACACATGGCGAGGTGCGAAAAGCTGAGGCCAACCGCAACTGAGTTTGCTGTGCTGGGTTTGGGAATGTCTGCAACGGGTGGTTGGACCGAAAACAGTACAGTACAGTACATTGCAGTACTGTACACCGCTGTGCCCGTCCCCGAAGCCAACATGGCACAGGTCCCCACCCCAAGCAAGCGAAGCTTCGACATGCACCTTCGCCGACAACCACACGAGGCTTAGGTGGCCACAAGCACGCGCCACTTGCCCGAGCCTGCGCTTGTTGGTTGGGTGTCGGGCATACCTTCGCCGTGGCGTGCGCTCGCTCACTCAGCAAGGTTGCATCAGGGGGTTCGGCTTGCTCAACACAAACCAAACCTAACTGGAACTATAGTGTGTTCGTAATGTGAGGTAAAGTGTAGCCCATGTAGCATAACTAGTGCTCTCCTTCATTCAAAATACGTGCAATGGCTGAAACAAACAAAAGACACAAAGGTAGTGCCAAGGCATCCACATTCCTGAACAACGATCTTAGACACGTCCGCCTCATTTTTTGTTTGCTTATGTTTTTGCTGAAGTTGTGAGCACAAAAGTTGTACATACTTCAGCTCATCAAAGTGAGGACATTTGGATCAAAGGAGTGCACTTGTCTGCTCTCTCTCCCCTTCTTCCCACGACTATCTGAGCTGGCCCCAGCCCTCTGTTCAACTGGCTTCTCTAGAACAACCCACAATCGCTGCACATGCCTGTGCAGCACCCCTCCCACCACCGCATCCAGCTTCCTCACGAATACAACACGATATGCCAGCCGCTCTAGAGCCGCCTCATACAGCGGCATTGCATCCGCACTGTGCTCTATCGCTTCCAGCCAAAGAATGCCGCCCGGCCTCAGCAAACGGTCCCAGTCAAAGAGCGCGAGGTGGAAGTCCCTGGGCGGCAGAGCGTCGACGCCCTGCAGGAGCGCAGGACCGGCGGTGCCGGTGGCATGGAGCAGGTCCAATGAGGCGTCAAAGAAGGGCAGGCGCGCTGTGAGAGGCATGTCCACCGCCACCAGTCCCCGCCATGCCAGTGCCTCTTGAAACGGCACTGCCACCCTGCTGCTGCTGCTGCTGCTGCCACTGATACTGCCCGTACTGCTGCTGCTGGTGGTGCTGCTGCTTGCAGTAGTGTCCACGACAGTTTGGCCTGAAGGCAATTTCGAGGCATCAGGGTAGCCAATCAGGTTGGACTGAACAGTGAGGATGGTCACATTGTGCAGTGCCATCTGGGCGGCAAACTGCCCGGTTCCGCCGCCCAGGTCCAGCCCCAACCTCACAGCACCCCCCTTGAGGCGCATGAGGTCGCGAATGTGGAACATTTCTCTTGCACTTGCCTCCTCCGTATTGCCACTCGCAGCATGAGTCATGGGACTGCTGCGCCCGCTCCTACCACTAACACTACCACTGCCACTGCCACGGCCACGGCCACCGCCGCTGCCGCCGCTCGCGCTGCTGGCGGAGGGGCGCGTGAACTGGAAGCACGCGGCCCCACCCGCCCATCCATCCCTGCTGCAGCCACTCGCCGCGTCTCCCTCCCTTACCCCCCCATTCTCTCCGCCTGCCCGCCCGCTCCTCCCCCTCCCCCGCTCATCCTGCTTGCTCTCCCCCTCGCGCCGCTCCCAAGGAAATGGGTCCAGGCTCGAGTTGACCGCTCGCGCTACAGCCTCTACAGCTGCAGCGTCCGCAGCAGCGCCTGCAGCAAATGCTGCCAGCTTGCGTTCGATGCATGCCACGTCAGCGCAGTCGTAGCGCTCCCACCGCACGCTGCGCCCGTCTAGCGGCGTCCAGAGCGCCTCCGGATGCAACGGGGGCTCCACGGGGTCAGGGGGGGTGGGGGAAAGGCACGCGCGGGGAGGGATGACGTAGCAATGGTCGGTGAAGCGGAGGCGGTGGGCTAGCTCCCAGTCATCGGGACACGTGGCGTGCGGATGGAAGCGCAGGAATTGCTTCAGCTCCGCGTCGGATGCGGCGCACTCGCTCAGCCTGTCCGCCTGCAAGCGCGTCAGATGCGCGTCCCGCCTCCGCGCGTATTCCGCGGAAACAGAATCTGCGCCGCCCTCCCCGCCGCCCCCAGCGCCGTGATGCACGGCGGCGACTGCGCTCTCGGCGAGCCAGCGCTCATCGAGATCCCCCCCGCCCGCCGAGGCATCGTTATAAGCACTCCGCGCAGCCACGCGCCGGTGCACGAGCTCCCCCTGGCATTTGCGGAACGCCGAGCGCAAGGCGGAGACGTCGGAGGCGGTGTCGGGGCAGTCGCGGAAGGGCGCGGGGGGCTGGGGGAAGTAGCGCGCGAGGAAGAGGCGGAGGTGCAGCAGCGAGAGCGCGGCGATCGCGAGCAGGCGGAAGGGCGTGCAGGAGGGCGCTGTGCGAGGCATCAGCGAATTGCGCGCCGTGTCGCGACGGCGGCCATACGGAGACGAGAAGAATGGATCGGGCCGACCTCGTTGGTATTGGCTGAACTGCTTGACGAGCAACTTCGATTCGAACACAAACAACTGAGAGCAGCGTGCGTGACAAGGAGCAGCGACTTGAGCCTCTCCGACTCGTGATTGAGAAAGCTGAATCCGCCAAGTATTGGCGACTGTAGGAACGTTGATTTTTTCTACTGATACATTTTCAGTTAGCGCTGCTCGAATTAGAATTACACTAGCTCAAACCTTTGGCTGTTTGTCATATCGCGTGATATCATATCGAGTCGATTCATTTTGCCCCACCATCACTATCCACTTCCAAGCCCAATGGCAGTTACACTTCACGCGAATTTGCGCCAATCGACCCATCCTTCGCACACAGATCACCCAAATCAGCGCGGGCCAGCAGCTCAAAGCGCGTCGATTGCAGCATGCGCGCCGGGCAGCCGTCGCAGGCACTCACGTCACGCTCTCTTCGCTCTCTCCGCTCGTTTCGTCCCTCTCCATCGCGCTTTGCGACTGCTCCATGTC